ATTAAGGACGTCATCGTTTCCAACTCTATCCACCCAAGGTATGCGCATCATTCTTCTCAATGACCACATTTCAAATGCTTCAAGTTTGTTGATTGATGTTTTTTTCAAAGTCCACGTTTCCATACCATAAAGCAAGATGGACCATATGTAGCACTTGACCATTCTGTAGCGTATTTCGAAGTTTAGGTGTTGATTACATAGGAGCGGTCTGAATTTCACAAAAGCTTGTCTTGCCATTTGTATTCGGGTTTTTATCTCGTGTTGTGGATCCGATTGGTCATTGATTGTGGTGCCAAGGTATTTAAAAGTTTTCACGCGATTTATACGATTGTCACCTATGCATATTATCGGGTTTTCTGGAGGGTTTATGCTAATGACCATATATTTCGTTTTCAAAATGTTGATTTTGAGGCCATATTCTATGCTATTCACCCTATCAAGTAATAACTGCTGATCTTCCAAATTATCAGTTATAATCACTGTGTCGTCCGCATAGCGTAGGTTGCTAATTGGTATGCCGTTCACCTTAATGCCTAATTCCGTATCTTCTAATGCTTCCGCAAATATATTTTCAACATATAATTTAAAAAGCATCGGAGAGAGTATGCAGCCTTGGCGGACACCTTTCCGGATTTCAAATTCATCCGTATATTGGTCTCGATCAATCCTCACCTTTGCCATTTGGTTCCAGTATAGATTCTTAATAATTCTGACCTCCTTCTGGTCAATGTTGGCCCTATGTAGTAGTTTCATCATGATATCATGTTTAACATTGTCAAATGCCTTCTCGTAGTCGATGAAGGTGAGGTAGACATCTTTTCGTTGATCTAAGCAGTTTTGTATTAAGGTGTTCAAACATAAAATTGCCTCTCTTGTTCCTAGTCCTCCCTTAAAACCGAATTGTGTTGACCCGCTAAGTTCTTCTAGTATCTTGTACATTCTTGAGTGTAATATCCTAAGGAAGAGTTTCAACAAGTGACTCATTAAACTGATTAAGCGGTGTTCATTGCATTTTGTGGCATTAGCTGTTTTTGGGATCATCACAAAGGATTACTGCAGCCATTCTCGCGGAATGTAACCAGTATCATAAATTCTATTGAACAGCCTTACCAAGATTTCGATATTCTCCTCGTCTAGTAGTTTTATTGCTTCTATATTAATTTCATCTGGACGTGTTGCTTTATGCATCTTTGTGGTTCTAACTGCATATTCTATTTCACTTCGCATTATTGATGGCCCTGATAAGTTTTCGGAAGGAAGTTTGCGCGTTGGTTGTGTTGGTCCTTCGTCATTAAAAAGGCTTTCTGCGTATTCTTTCCACGCCATTGCTATCTCCTCTTCTGACTCTATGTATTCGTTTCTGTCGTTGCGTATTCTTGTTCTGTAGTGGCTTTTGTGTATTTTCGATATTTCTTTGATCTTCTTATGTAGTCCAAAACTATCTCCTTTTTCCTGCAATTGTTCTATTTCGTTGCACCTTTCCACCATCCAACGTTCTTTTGCTTTCTTAATTTTCTGACGGATTTCTTTGTGTATATGTTTGTATTTGTCTTGATTACGTTGTTGTTTATGTTGCCTTCGCTTTTCCATTAGATCCATAATTTCGTCCGTCATCCATTCGTTATGCTTTCTCTTTCTTACGAGGTGGGAGCTGAAACCATGTGTTCATGACGACAAAACCGTTCTCCTGGCAGAATTCACACAGCAGGTCGCCTCTTTCATTTCTAACTCCAAGTTCGTACTCTCCAATAATGTCTTCATATCTTCCTTTACCCACCTTGGCGTTAAAGTCGCCCATTATTATGTTTATGTCCTCTTTCTTTGTTAGTCTTATTGCTTTTTCTAGATCTTTATAGAACTTAGTTATTTCTTCTTCTGACTTATCTGCTGTTGGTGCATATGCTTGTGTCACATTTATGTTTACTGGTTTGCCAGTCATTTTGATCAACATGACTCGTTCGGAAACTGGAACAAAATCTGTCACCGATTTACTGGTCTTCCTGTCAAGAGCAATAGCCACTCCATGTCGGCGATGTCTATCTGTTGGGTCACTACACGAGTAATACATAGTAATATTATCTTTCGTAAACCGTCCAGATCCAGACCATCGGACTTCACTGACTCCCATTATATTTATTTTCAGCCGATTCATTTCCTTTATAAGGTTGTGTAGTTTTCCTGGTTCGTAAAGACTATTAACATTCCATGTTGAAATTCGTTGGATATCATCTATTTGGCACCGGGAGATTCTTCGCACCCTCTGACCATCTAAGGTCTGCCCGGGACTGAGGGCCATCTGAGTTTTGTTTTGTTCTGCCATAATGAGATGAGTTATCCTGGGGAAAAGGTAGTGTTGTAGTATCCCGTTACTTTCAACACCGCAGTACCACAGCCATTCAAACTGTCCTAGTCATGCCTGTGGAATTCCAATAACAAGCCGGTCCAAGATAATTTCTTTTGCGCCTTGCGTTGGTACTGGTGATCGCTGCTGCCCTTCACCAGGGTGGAGGACAAGGAGGGATAAATATTAAGGGTGTAGGATAAAGGCTCTGGGACATGAGATTCCACGGTGTGAGATGGTGGAATATCATGAGCTAGCGTGGGCAGGGTCGCTAATCATATGGGTACTTTATTATTTATTGTAAATGTTGTTATTGTATAGTTTTGTCCTTTATTTTTTTGGATTTACGATATTTGTACGGTTTGGTTTTTAATTGTACTACTCTTGCTATGCTATAAAAAGCCATAATAAATAAAAATAAAATAAAAAACAAAGGAAACATCAATAATTCCTCAACAAGAAAGAAATATCAAGAAAAACGAAGATTATAATATACAAAACAATATAGAAGTCAACATTGGCATGCGAAGTAGAAAACCCCAGAGTAGGATACAAATAGAAGAAATAACTTACCTTAGAAGAGCGATAGGGACCAGAAGGATAAACAGACACAGTAATAAAGAAATAAAAAAGAAACTAGAAATAAATTCACTTAAAATAGAAAGTCACCAGGACCAGACGGAAAAACTAACTAGCTACTAAAATACGGAGGAGAAAGTATAACCCTAGAGCTGACAAAACTTATACAAAAAATAAGATTGCACGAAGATTAAGACGTATGGAGAAAGAGCATAATGATACCAATATTCAAGAAAGGAGATAAAGAAGATCCCAACAATTATAGAGGTATAAATCTAGTGAACACCGCACTTAAGCTTACTACAAAAGTCTTAACCAATAAAATCAATAAACTAACAACTTTCACATATGAACAACAAGGATTCAGATCCGGAAGATACTGCGTAGATGCCGTATTTGTACTAAGACAAATCACAGAAGAGGCCATCAATTACAATAAACCAGCATATCTATGTTTTATAGACCTGACAAAGGCTTTTGATCGCATCCAAGTCGAAAACGTCTTACACCTACTGTTTAAAACAAACCAATCAATATTATACAAAACATCAAAAATATAAACTTCGAATACAGGCAAGATAAATGGAAAACGAACACAGTGTACACCAGGACAAAGCGGAGTCAGACAGGGTGACTTGTTAGCACACTTCCCTTTAATATAATAATGGACGAAATATAACAAGCAGTACGTAAAAATCATGGCTACAGAATGGGAAACAAAGAAATTCAAATATTATGTTATGCAGACAACGCCGCATTAATCGCCGAGACAGAGCTGCAAAGATTAACACAAACACACATCTTCAATACAACAGCCAAGAAATACAACATCTAAATACCCACTGCGATGCAAAATCGAAATTGATGAAAAAATAGTAAAGCAGAAAGCAAGGTTTAGATATCTGGGAATGGATATAACTAGTTACGGAAATGTTGAAGAAGAAGCACGACAACAAAGCTTAAAAGCAACTATAGCGGCATAATGTATTAATGACACAATCTGGAAGAACAAACACCTAAGACAAGACACAAAAAGAAGAATTTCTAAAGCAGCAATTAGACCTATATTAATATACACAGTGGAGACAAGACCTGACACATCTAAAATGAGACAACTACTAGAAACAACAGAGATGAAAATACTCAAATGAATATCAAAGAAAAGTCTGTTAAATAGGGAGAGAAGCGAAAACATAAGAAGAGCATGCAATATAGAAGATGGATGGGTGACAAAACGGAAACAGGAGTGGAACGGACACATCAGTAGAATGGCAGTGGATAGAATAGTACGAATAGCACGGGATGTCACCAAATGGACGAAGAAGCATTGGCAGATCGATGATGCAATAATTTAAACAATTTAGGAGGCTAATATTGAAGAAGAACATACAAGAAGGAAGAAGAAGAAGAAGAAGAAAGAAACTTAAAATGAAACGGTTACTTAACGTAATAAAGAAGAAAAAAATTAGCATGGTTCGGTCTTATAACACAAATGGACAGTAACAGGTAAAGAAAAGACTGTGAATAGCTAAAACAATATATAGAAAAACAGTAGGACGGATCCAGAAAAGAAAGAAACGACATAGCAGAGATATTACAAAACAAGGGCAACTCTTGACAAGAAGAAATACAAAAAAACAAGAAGAACAGAAATGAATGGATAAAATTCGTCGAAAGCTAGCCGCACCTAGCTCAACATATAAGGGTAGAAGAAACGATTATGTATGTGCTCCTTGTAATGTATTGTCCTCTTTGTATATAAACAAAACTTAACTGTGATGTAGCCATACGCTTAATAAAATAAACCAGTGGAAGGTTTAAAATTATCACCGTGTATATAGTTTCATCTTAACTATATGTATGTACTGATAATATATACCATTTAAAGTAGAATTTCAGGTTTTAGTTAATTCGCGAAACAAAAAAAAAACGGCGTAGTTTGATCATAATTAACAAAATCTTCATATTCACCAGGAAGAGGACACTACCGATTGACCTTGTCACAATCCCCTATTTAATAATCAACTTGTCTTGATAAAAAGATACAGTCTGAGTTCCTTACATATTTTAGGTGGTATTTGTTTAGACTGTTTAAATAAATTAAAAGTAATTACTCGTTTTATTGCTGGTAGCTTGGATATATTGTGCTTAAATGTATTTGTGAGCAAACTTGTCTAATCTTTAGAATTAAAAAAGTAAGTACGTTTATTCTGCAATAATACTGCAAATTATTTAAGTTAGTATCTTTCAACAGATGAATTTCCGATTTACTTAATAATTGTTATTTTTCAAAAGGCATCACCTTAAACATCTTCAGATTTCTTCTTCTATTTTTGGACATCATCTTCACTATTTAACCTTTAGCACCTACACTTATAAAGAGCTATAGTAAAGTTAAAGTTTAACATTTTCTCAGATTCTTTAACCAGGATATTCTTAGCTGTCTTAAAATTTTCTGTCTCATTTGTCCTTACATAGTCTTCTTCACACCTAGTTTTATCTAAGACATTTTAACCTTTTCTCTTATGCCACTGTAAAATTGTCATTCCATCTCTTTGTAGAAACACCAATTCTTCTTCTTGTAATTGACGACTTCTCTCTAATCATTCTAACTGTTTTATTTTCTGCATTTTTCTTAATCATTCTAACAATGTCTTCTTCTTCTTCATCATCTTCTTCCTTCTTGTATGTAGGCTTTAAAGTCTATTTCTTCTTCAATATTAGCCTCCCAAATTGTTTAAATTATCGCACCATCTTTTTCTTGGTCTGCCAATACTTCTTCGTCCATTTGATGACTTATCTCGTGCTATTCCTACTATCCTTTCCTTTGCAATTCTACTAATGTGTTCGTTCCACTTCTATTTCCGTTTTGTCACCCATCCATTTATGTCTTCTATATCATGATATTCTTATGTTTTTGCTTCTCTCCCTATCCAACAGACTTTTCCCTAAACTTCGTTGGAATATTCTCATCTCTGTTGATTCTAGTTGTCGTCTTATTTTAGGTGTGTTAGGTCTTGTCTCTGCAGATTTATATGTTTCTGGCATTTACTGGAGCAACAAGAACAATATCTTTGTCGCTGTTGGAGGAGGACCATCAGCTAATATTATTGTTAAATACTATTATCTTTACAAATTCTATCAGTTAAAGACAATGCTGAATATTTATAATAAAATGTTAGATTTAGCACTCAGTAACTATTTCGTATATAGTGTTGAGGTTGCAAAACATGTTCTGATCCGTTGTGAATCTTATCATCTGTCACTTAATATTGTTATTTTTGTGGACGCTCCTGATTTCATATCTGGGAATGAAGAAAAATATGATCTTCTACATGCAGATTATGAAAGTTTTTTTTTATTATTTACAAACAATAGTTGCTTCAACCATCTACGTTATTAGCGACATTAGTTATTACATTTAAGTAAATTATACAAAGATTTATCTTAAAGAAAGCTAATTAACTTTTTCGTATTTAAATGTCCACCAAAATCTTTTTTTTTTTTAATCACTGGAAATATTGTTATTTTGTCTGTTCACTGTATATTTTCCACATTTGAGAATCACTTCTCATCATAATTTAAGAGAGCCTTTGTTAAGCTCATACACAAATCTAGTGATAAATCATTGATTTGTAATGATCGATTCATTGTAATTCTTTCTGCTATTGCTAAAATTTTTGATTCTTCAGTGACTGATTTTTGGATAGTTAATCTGAAAAATCAGCTTCACAGTTGTCAGCATTGCTTTCTTCATGGTGTTTCAACTTCTACTAACCTACTAATTTACTCGATAAATGCATTGAAAGTAGTTCTCAGGGGATTTTATTTATATTATACAATATTTAGCCCTATTTTTTGAACATAATTAATAGCTACTGTAAGGAACGGCATTCCTTTAGCAGAACATTTTGTCACAAGCCTGACAAGACCTGTAAATGGAAGTAGACGTAATGTGATTCTGGATAAATTTTCAATGGGGTTGACGTCTGGCGGCGAATTGGCTGGGCCAATCTAAAACATTATTATTTTTAAAAAATTCAATTATTAGCTTTGACTTGTGACAGGGAGCAGAGTCCTGTTGAAGAATCGCTCCTCCTTGTGGCATTTTTGGAGTTCTGTGTCCAAACGCTGTTCCAACTTGGATTTATATTTTTGGCTGTTCATCATGCCATCGATCGGTACTAATGATCCAACCCCCTTGTATGAAAAACATCCCCAAAACATCTTTTTCACTAGATATGTTTGATTGATCAATATGAGATGGTGTAAAGTTTTCATTGTCAGACTTCCTGACGAATTTGGACTGTTGTCTCTGAACTATGAAGTGAGTTTAATCTGTAAATAGGACTTTTCTCCAGTCGTCTACAGTCTAGTTATCGTATTTTTGGCTCACAATAGCCTTTGTTTCCTTATCTATTCAGTTAGAAGCTGTTTTTTTTTCTGTGAACGCATTTCCCTTCTACCATTCTTCAAAAGCATTTTCCGAACAGTTGAGTTATAATTAATAATCACTACATCTGATGCTACTAGATTCTTTGGAGCTCTTAGCTTGTTTTGGTTTGTTCTTGAGTCCAATTCGCTCTTTTGAAATAAAAATATATTATCTACTGGTGTTGTTTTTCTTTCTTTTACATTTTCCTAAACTTTTCACATTCATTGATCCCGTTTCTCGTTTACGTTTCGAAATCTTGATTAGTATTCCCTGACTCATTCTACACGTTCTTGCGATTTCATTTTGTGTCATAAAAGTGTGTTCACTTAACATTAATCTTTTCACGCTTCCTAGACATCATAGCCACGATGGAATTAAACTAAACAAACTCACTAATTACTGAAAACAATACAAAATACTACAAAACAACACAAACTTAGTGGGAAATGTTGTAAAACACCCTCAAATAAAAGGCAGAGAAAAAGTAAGGTTATCTTTTCAATGCTTGGTCAGTTGTGAATATGTGGACAGTGTTGCCAAAAGAATATTGAAAAATGTCACAACGATTCCATTAATTAGTACAATACTGTACATAAAACTCTTATATTTATTTTTCTCCCTTATCTTCTGTTAATGGATACACCTGAATAAAATTAACGAGCCCCAGAGTTAAGGACAAAATTCATCTCTGATCAACTAATTCTGTTATTTATTACTGTCCCAACACTATCAATTCATTGAATAATTAGTAAGTTTTGCTAATCGTGGTATGAGTCTGACAAGCCTAAAATATCGCACCCTTTCTTTGATATCTCTCAATTTCATTTCAGTAGTTATGTTTCATGTTTCACAATTTTAATAGTAATAATAGTTTTAATATTGAAATTAATAGTTTTATTATACAATTTTCTTGGCATTTCCCCAAAAATATTTTAAAAAGATTAACTATTAGATATAAACATAATTAAATGAGTTACAGCGCCGCATAACAAATTTAAGTAGGTAATAAAAACATGTGTATCTCTGAATAAAAGTGGTCTTGAACTTTGCACAATCTTTACAAAAATGTTGCTACAAAAACTATATATAATTATTGGTGTCTGTTATTTATTGATTGAAATATTTACCTCTTTATAATATAAACTAGTATCAGATTTCCGTGTTAAAATTACACTACTAAAAAATATTAAATTTTAAGTTTGAAGATGTTTTCTAAAGTGTATTAATTTTGAGAACTGCTTATGATCTAGAATGGAAATCGTCGAATAAAGAGATTATTTCATATTTTTTTGGTGTATTTTTAACGATATATTTGATAAAAGAGCATGATTTATTCCGTAAAACCGTAAAGGAATACTCCAGAGCAAACGTTAACTTAGACCATAACCCACTGATATCAGCAATGCAAGTAAAGCTGAAAAAAAAATCAAAATACGCCAACAAATTAATTCAAAAATGAATGTAGTAAAGTAATCATCATCAACTTTTTCTTCTTCTAGTGCCTACTCCACTAATGAATGTTGGCTATAACCATTGCAAATTAATCTCTATCTTCTTCTTTTCTAAAAAGTATATGTGTATTTAACTGGTACTCCAGTCGTCAGAGACGAAAATGCTACTGAACCTCTAAAGATCATATGAATAAGCTGACTTTAGCCGAGAGCTTCCCCCTAAAACGCCCCTCGCAGGCGGATAAAAATCGCAAAAAAATCGATCTATCAAGGATCTGTACACCGTTGAAAAAATGTTTCAAATAAAAAATGTAGCTGAGATAATTTTAAACAAAAATGTTTCTTCGTCTTAGAGTGCCGTCTCTCTACGGAGGTTGGCAATTATAATGGCTATTTTTATTTTAGAACTTGCTGCTCTAAACAAATCAATCGATCTGCATCGATACCAATCATGTAGATTCTTTAACTATGAGTTCTACCTTCGGCCAACAGATCTTCTTCCTTGCATCTTTCCCTGTATTATGATTTTCAGAATTTCATATTTTGGTCCTCTTATCACGTGGCCTAGGTATTCCAGTTTTCTGGTTTGTATAGTGGTGATTATAGTTATGTTTTTTGAATAACCCTCTCCAGTACTTCTTTATTTGTAATTATAAAAATGAATGAACAGTTCTCTTAGAAAAAACGCTTGAAGCGACAGTGCATTTTGCATGTCAGTTACGCGCGCGAAATCAATGTTCAATAAAATTTGTATCAGCTTGACGGTAAAAATTCGATATCTTTTGATTCAAGCGACCTGTCGACAAAAGTCAAGATGCGTTTTAAATGCAAGGGGTTCAGCTTTCGTATGCAGTTTTAATATTTTGCCGAGACTAAACCACAGTATAAAGAGGTTCCACCTCTTTATACTGTGACTAAACTCAGTTTTTATAAAGGTGTTAAATAAATAAACGTGGCGCGATTTTTGCCATTTTTTACGATTCTCACGAGATCAATGCAATCTATCCCTTTCATTGACTGGCCACTATAAATTTTCGACTATTAGAACCTAACCTAACCTTTAAAACCAATAGCATTAAATTTTAGGTTTGAGTTTTGACAACAAATGTGAGGCATTTGAAATATGCTTAAAAACGATAGATTTAAATTTTCACACAACGATCTAAAACATTTAAAACCTTTTTTTTCAATTAATTTAGTTTGTTTTTTTTTAAGAACAAAACTTATGCAATAAACTCATCGAGCAAAAGAGAGATGAGGGAATGTAAATTTAGTGGGGACAAAAATATTGTAAGACGGGAAGTGCCATTTTAAGAGGCCACATTAAACAAGGAAAGAGAGACTCTTTCCTTGTTTAAGAAATCAAATTTAGGTAATAATAATCAAATTTAACTTTTGCCGTGATTGTGTTAATATTTATATTTAAATCAAAATACACTTTTTTCTTTATAACTCCCATAAAAAGCTATCACATGGTGTTAAGTTGGGACTATTTGGTGGCCATCTAATGGTACCCTTATTGCCGATCCACACATTAAATTAATTATTTAAATATTCTTGAACGGCTACGACATTATGTGGCGGTGCTCCATCTTATTGCCATATCATACATTGGTCCAACTATTTTGATTTGAAATATTCAGCACCACACATTTATTGATTTTCTTCCTGACTTTTTTATTTGCTTAATTTTTCTTTTTCTATTATTTTTCTGTTCCACGAATACCTATTTCTTCTATTAAAAATGCCTGAAGTTGAAAAATTTGATTCATCTGTCCATAAAATGTTATAAAAATAATTAGGATCATTGTTCAAATTTGTAAGCATGTCTTGACAGAACTGTAAATGCTTTCTCTTGTGAACATCAGTAAGTACTTATACCGGTAATATTTTGTACGGCTTATAGTTGGGCTTTTATAAAACTCTATGTATCGTCGCACGACTTTTCTCTATTTGCATTAGTAGCATTGTTTAGACTAGTTTGGATTCGATTTAATTTTTATTAGCGATTTAATCTATTATTTAAGTATTTAATTTTTATCTTCAAAGTAAAGCAAGGTATTAAGATCTTCATCATCATTTCCCCCGATAGTACGTTTCTTCCGTTCAAACATTTTTTCATTTATGACAATGACGATAATTATATAAAAATATATTTGCAGAAGGAATCTGTCGATCTGGATAAATCAGCCTATATTCTCTTCTTGCCGCTTGCTTGTTTTTATTATTTTTTAGATAAATTGAGAATGATATCTACTTTTTTATCACTGCAGTATAACCCATTTCGGTATGACGACTGACAGTTTATAATAAATTAATAATTATTGTTTCATTTTGAAATATCAGTTGCATAGCCACCTATGGTTACCCTTTTGTAGTACCATATGCCATTATAGAACAAAACTAATTAGGAAATGCAGGGCTACTTAAAACTATAAAAAATACAGGTTGTTTCATTCGAAATATTGAAGATGCATTTTATTGTGCACTCCCTGTATACAAAATTTGGTCTGTTGCTACATTGTTGGTCGGTACAGATAAAATAATAAAACATTTAATTAAAACTTTTTTTTTGTATTCCCGAAATTAAGGAAAATAAGTGGGGGCCAAAATATAATGAGAAACTCGGTACAGATCCTTGGTAGATCGATTTTTGCGATTTTGACCCGCCTGCGAGGGGGGTTTTATGGGGAAGCTCGAGTGTAAAAGTGGTAAACTTTTTTGCATCTGCTTTGGGTTTCCAAAATTAATATTTTCTGCAAAATTCAGCTTGTTCGTATGATTTTTAGAGGTCAACTCTTTGACGACTGAACTACGGGCCCAGTCGCGAATGTTTTTTAGCCAGGATATTTGTCGGATATTCAGAACCTCTTTTTTCTTCGATTGTACCCTACATAATCAGTATTTTTTTCTTATAGGGAAAAATGAATTAAGTATTAGTTTCAGTATACAATATTTATAAAAAACAATGTTCTTCAAAAATTTTAGGGCTGATATAGAACAGTTGACTTGTTAAACAAAGCTGGAGCAGGAAGAGTGGTTAATTTCTAGGTTTTTCTACTTTCGGGTGTATTCTTAAAGAGATATTTAAGGCAGTCCAAACCAGTTATAGCTATTATGACTTGTGATAAATGCTAAATAATTCTACTTTTATAGAAACTACTAGATCTTCCTAAGAAATATGAACAACAAAATATACATATTTAGTTCAATATTATGGTTAACGCTTTTATTATCAATATCTACTACATACGGTAGAGAAGAAAGAACATTTTTAGATCCGGCGTTTAAGCAATTAGGGCGAAGACTCAAAATACGATTAGGAACTCCGAGTCAACACGCTGTCAGAACTGAGAAAAATAGAAAACTGCTGATAAAAAGCAATGTAAGTATTTTTTTATTTTATCACTACGCTTAAAACCTTGTTAAAAATTGACACTTAAAATAATTGAAAAGATGGAAAAAGGAAAGTATTTTTAAGTGTGTCAATAATTTTAATTCCTAGTTGTGCTCATTCGGCTTACAAAGCCACCTTCATAGTTTTGGACGAATATTTAAGTATTGCTACTATAGTAGAACCCACAGTTAGAATGCAGTGTTAGTCTTGTGGCGCCCAGCGATGCTGCTTATATCGGCACAGTAGTAGGTGTGTGATAGTTTGGCGATAGACTGAGAAATCAGGACCATACGCGCTTCGTTTCAAAAATTTAACTGAGTTAAGTAAGAGAATAAAAAGAAATATTATATATAATATATATATATATATATATATATATATATTTATATATATATATATATATAATAATATAAATATAAATATAATATAAATATATATATTATAGATTTTTGAAAATTGATAAATATAAATAAAGTTTCATCAATGAGTCTTTGGTATATTTTAGTTTTTTTATAGTATTTTTCATGTTCTTGTTCATTTCGACAATGTAACTCTCTTATTTATACATCGATGATTGAATCATGCTTGAGTTGGAACAATAATGATAGACTTTTATACAACCGAGGGCAATTATTGTGTGCGCGTATATTTCAGTGCTATGATTCTATTATTATTTTCTATAACAAAATTATAGAAAAAACCGGTACCTGTCTCATTTATTTCTTCTTTATCATTGAATAAACACTAAAAAGACTATACGTTGGACTCCACAAAAACACATTAAATATTTGATTATGGTACGGGTTTCAAAATCCCACCATTTATTGGAGTTAAAACAGCAGATGAATCTTCAACTTTTTGTGGAGTCCACTGTAAGTAATTTTTGTATTTTTTCAATGATAAATAAAAAATATTAGTAAATTAAACACATTCTGTTTTTTTTTTAATAAAAAATAAGTAGAACAAGCTTTTCCTATAATCTTGTTACCAAATGATACTCCTAGTAGTGATACTTAAAGATCATAACTCTGTGTCATAAGTGTTCACAAAAACATATCAGTGTTTTCATTACTTAAAATAATGTCCTATATAATGTTCTAATATAAGATGCTGTATGGGATACCCAGGAAAATCCTGGAAGTTTTTGCCATTTCTGTCTTATTCTATATTCTTTTTACCAAGTTTCCAGCAATTATCTTATTTAGAGAGCATATGCAAATTTGTAGCGTATTTATATCTGTTATATTTTCTGTAATTTTTTTTTAGACATTGGCAGAAAAACCACCTTTTGCAGATTTTCCGTGCGACCGAAGCCACACAAAAATAAGAAGTGACACCGTGCCAACAAATGTCAATCAGGTACGGCCTGGGGATATCGACATCATAGCTGCAATGGGTGACAGCTTAAGCGCCGGTACTGGAATATCATCTGCAACCATGCAACAAGAATTGTTCTCGGAAGAGAGAGGAAGATCGTGGTCGATAGGTAATTATACAAAATTATTAAAGGAGAATGAATTACTAAAGAATTTTTATGTTGGTGATGTAATCACCCATGTCATAAAATACAAGTAAGAGTCATAAATTCAGTGAAACTTTGGGCAAATACGTACCTAATGAAACTGGAAAATATGGCAGACAAAAAATTAGTTATGCAAAACAAACATAGACTAAAAGATATACGAAATGAATGAATCTTCATCAATAATTATTTTATCAAACAAGAGCAGGATACACAACAAAGGTTAGGTTGTGTTAGGTTAGAAGACCATACTTGAAAGGGCTGAACAAGACGGGCGAGGTTTCTCCTATAAACCAGGTACACCTGTTACCTACAAATAACCTTTTTTCCTACTTCTCTTCGACTTTGCCTAAATATACCTAGAGCAGGTACAGCGGATATATACGTCACACATATTAAAATAAAATAATTAAATAGACAACTATAGTAAAAATTACTTACGCATATCTACCCCACACAACTTTTAACGTACTTTCCCGCCATTCTTGGTACTCAGCTACAAGAACTCCTCAAGTTCTACTATAGTGAAAAATAATTACTATAGTGGAAAACTAATCTCTCCTAATCTTGTTCCGATAGGAACCAGCTTCAATATAGACAGGTTACTAAAGACCCTCAGGGTGTAACCCTTTCTCTCTGTTTCTTTTTCCTCTTCTTCTACATTCTATAATAACGTTAGTTTTCCGAACCCCCTTCTCGTTTTCCTTCCGAAAAGGAACCAGACCCTACCCTAGGGGTATGCCGTTTATGGTATGCATCGTATGACAAGCCCTAAGATCTTCTACAAAAACACCCTTCCAGACTGTGCGGGATATCCCCATGTTTCGTTCTCTAATGAACTCGTCCAGGAATATTCAGCGTCGAAGAGGGGGTGGTTTTAGTTGGTAGAAAACCTGACAGGGACGCACGATGGAAGCCCGTATTCCGTGTGAACTCTGTGCCGTTCTCGTGTGGTCCAGCCTTCTGGTTGAATCCAACAGTACGAGGGACACCTTCCCTAGTCGGTTTCGAACTTTTCCACCTCATTTCAAAAAAAGGTTAGGTTAGGTTAGATTAGGTTAGAGTAACAACAAACAGCAACAGAGGTCAAAGAGGGCTTTAGAAAAATTGCAGTATGTGGAAAGTTCTGGAAATTTATCAAAAACAAATAAACGCTAGAAATCAAGTCCAAATGCAAAATACAGATGTCTTTAGAACTGGGCAATGGAAAAGATACAAAAGGGAAAAGATAGTAAAGAAAAACCTAGGATAGGTCGAAACTATATTGGAATAGAAACTTGAAGTATAAGCAGTACATTCAAAAAAAGAGCGCTAAAACAACAATTGACAAAATAATTTAGTAGAAAGGAAATCTCATGAAGTCAGGAGACTCCTTTTCTCTTCGATAGCGAATTAGGTGAATCGCAAATTCGGCCTTGCTGAAAACTTTTGAAGGATATTTGGATTCCAACAATACATCTATAATTTACCCCTAAGAAACACTATCTTTTGCGCTGTTTACGAACAGAAAAATGCATTAAAACTAAAATTAAACGATTGGATTTCCTTTCAATTCAAATATCACTTTGTTTACGTGTTCGACTATAACCTATCAGCAACACTTCAGTTATTCGAACTAAATAAATCAATCTTTGTCGTTATAAAACATGACAACACTGCAGCGACTTCTAATAGCACCAATTCTTGCGTCCATTAAAGGTCCGCTAGCGATATTTACGTTTCTATAACGACAAAATATTGAATGTCCATGTCATGACGTCACGATGGGTGAAACTGTTTAACTCCGTTTCTCGACGTATCAAAGAAAAACCAATCCCAAGGTTTTTATTACTGTTTATCGAAAACCCTCTCATACCAATCGTTACTTGCATGCTAACTCTTATCATCCTTCTTCGAAAATTAATTCAGTCATTAATACGCTTGTCTCCAGATCAATACGCCTTTGCGATGATGCAAGTGGACCCGCTGAGATCTACAGTTTAAAACATACTCTCCTCCAAAATGCTTACCGCGAAAACCACATTCTGATGGATTTTAATAACATTGCCAGTTTCATTGAAAAGAGCATTTATAGCGGCTGCTTTTTATGTGCGATGGGAGTACGTGCGGATGTCTCCTTAAAACTTGCAACCAAGTTCTACGAGCAAAATCTCCAAACAATCGGATTATTTCGATTTTTTTTGTTTTATTACATGGCACACTAGTTTTATATTGAATAAAAAAATAATTTTTAGGTCTAGGTATTGACCAAAGAAATGAAAAAAAACCAAAAGTGCGAATTTTTCTTATGAAAATTTGGGCATGGTGGGGTTAGAATAATATTTGGAACAACTTTTGCAAATAACTTTTTTCTATATCTCTAACGCGAAGCAAAATATATATGTTCACTAGACTATAAATGCAAAATATTCCTATATCTTGTATTTTGTTGTATTTGATAATCTTCAAGTCATTATCATGTTCTAGGTGGAGAGGCAGACTGGAAAAGATTCCTTACATTAGCAAACATTTTAAAAGAATTCAATCCAAAACTATTCGGTTATTCCTTAAACACCTCACAAAGTTTTCAGTGGGAGTCACAATTCAACGTAGCGGAGAATGGTGCCATTTCACAAAACTTGCCATTTATGGCCAAAGAGTTAGTTAAACGTATTAAGAATGATAAGAGGACGGATCTGAAACATCACTGGAAGGTAGCTAGTTTATGTATAAGATTTTTTTATCATTAGTGTTGACTTTATTTCCATCTTTATCTGCTATTATTTTGACGGTAGATCATCATCTTAGATTTGAAAAATGACAGCACAAAATATTTAATTATACTTTCTTAAATTTGGCTGTTACGGCATTGTTCTTCTCTTTGGGTTGCCTTTTCTTATATCAAAGCAAACAGACAGCAAAAATAAAAGGCGAATCAGATAGATTTATGTAAGATTTTCAGTTAGATATGACAGCGCTCCTGTAAGTACTTAGCCTCACCGACCAATGACGCCAATATCGCAAAAGAAAGTTATTAGTATGCAGAACATTCTCGTAAATGGCTAATGTCCATATTTCAGCCAAATCGGACTGAAAATATTATTTAGACCGCGTGTGAAAGAGGGCGTGTTCGCGCATTTTAGAAAAATGGAACGATTTTAGAAAAATGGAACGAATGGTGATCATCTAAAATGAGTTTCAACGTGGCCACATGACGGTTTTTGGTGAACCTAGCCCAGGTGCCCCGAAAACGGCTACCACGGAGAATAACGTGACAAGAATCGATGATTTTGTGTTGACAAACCGCTGATTTAAGGTTAACAAGATAGCTAAAACAGTATGCATCTCAAAGAACCGCATGGACCAGATCTTGTATGAAATTTCGGGCATAAGAAAGTTGTCAACGCGATGGGTGTCCACAAAATTGAGCCCCTGGTTTACACCAGACACCAAGAAATAGTCTAAAAACTAACTCATCGGAAAGTATCAAAAAAGACGATAGCAATGGTGATGCACATTGTTTTCTGGGATTTACAAGGCGTGATCTACATCGACCACCTGCAGAAGGGCAAAAACGCTCACACGTGTCGAATTATTGTGCCAATTCGATGTCGAATTGCAGAAAACTCGGTCCCATTTGGTGAAGAAAGAAGTGTTCTTCCAAAATAACAACGCACCAGTCCACACATTCTCCACCGTCATGGCTAAATTGGTCGATTTGGGATACTGTCTTATCCACCTATTCTCAAGAAATGGCCTTTTCCTTGCAGTTTTCCTTTGTTTCCAGACTTAAAAAAGTCACTCGCTGGGCAGAAAGTATTGAATAAAGGGGTTATTACCGGATGCCTATTTTTCAGAAATCGATAATCCGGATTTTTAAAATGGATTAAAGAAAGCTGCAGGATTGCTGGGTCAGTGTATCGATCTGAAAAGAGACTATGTTAAGAAATAAATGGACACTTTTTCAAAATTTTTTGTTTTTTTCTATAGGCAAAAGTACTTAACGAACCACCCAAAAAGCCCAAACGAAGCCAAAAACACGAAAAAGAGTCCCACCAGAGCTCAATCCTTTTGATACAGTAGGTATCTGGGATGAATGAATTTTCCCCTTAGAGGGAGTGTGAGCCGTATGGCTAAATCTGGGAGCCAAATACAAACACAAGAAATTCAACACTAATAAATTATAGTAAGTATCGAAATCATTAGAGGAGCAAGTAGCAAATGGTAGTTTTTAAAAAATATGTGGTGAACATACACAAATTTTTAAGTATGTAAAATCAGCAATCACTTAAAGAAAAAATGATAAAGTGTGGATAAGATTAGGTACTAACAAAAAATAGTAAAAAAGCAAAATTTAATTCCCTGAAACACAAATTTCAATTAGTCCCCGGGTAGGGTATGGGAGCACTGGCTAGGAAAATTCATATTCTATTTTTTTTGCAGAATCTTCTTAAAATAGTCTCCTTATAACAAGAGTGCATGTTGTCAAGAGAAAATGACGGTCAACAATTGTTTAAATTTTTTTTAAATAAAATGTAAAATTTAATTTTTTTGTCAGTAAGTTTCGTCAACTACTTGAATTAACTTTCGTCTCATATTTTTGTACTTAGAAATTAGCCTCTTTAAATCAATAGTTGGTTTGTTTATGATAATAAATTAACCCTAATTAGCGCATTTGAAAGATCAAGGACTTTAATGTCGAAAGTTTAAAAGAGGTTGGCTTTAGACGAAGCCCTCTACAAAGCTTTAAAATGTAGAGCTCCAATTCGTTCAACTTGGACTAATGACTGAACAAGACTAATATTTTATACGATGTATTAATTAGTAAAAATTATGCAACAATTTTAAAACAGCTATCGAATAAATTTAAATTCTAATAAAGTGTATTGATAATTGCCTAACATGTAGAAAATAAGTTACATTAGAAATAAAATTGTAATCCTAAATGTTTTATTTTAATTCAACTAATGTCGACTTATTTCCAATAAATATTGGTTTGAGAAAGGCTTCTGATTTATAAATTGTTTCTGATAACATTTTTCTTTCTAAAATATCTGAAAGTGAGTGACAAAAAAAGAATAACATTAAGAATGAGAATATTCACGAAAATTTAAGGTTGATTCAGTTGATGTCAAAATCAGAAAGCATAGTTTGATTACGCACGATAAAGCATTAAGGTGGTTTGGTCATATTTAAGGTCGAGACGATAATTAGCCAATATGAATTATTGCTGATTTGAACGTTCCTGGGAGGAGTAGGAGAGGAAGAACTGGCGAGATGTTTAGGTAGGGCATATGAGTAAGGAGGATTGATAATGATATAATCCAAAATAAAATCTTATGGAAAAAGGTTGTTAGGGAAGCCGATACTGAATAGGGAAATAAAGACAACTAGAATGATGATGAAGTATATCTATAGTTCACAGAACAAGCTGCATTGTTTAATTTTTGGATACTTCATTTTAATCTGCACCTAGTCCAACAATGTTCGTCTTTTGATACCATTATTAGATTAACTTTAATCACTTAACACCTACTTTATAAATATTTCTGTTTTAGTATACATATTGTTTCTTAATATTATGTTTTGTATTTTAAGATGATAACCATAATGGCTGGGCATAACGACTTTTGTTCAGAAAACTGCTATTACAAGAATCCAAATGACATCCTAAAGTACCATAGAAGTGACCATTATAGAAATGTTGAGATATCTTCGAGATAATCTACCTAGAACAATTGTTAACTTAGTTCCTCCTTTAAGTAAGTTTTGTAGGGGAAGGGTGTACAAAATGACATAGTGGAGTATAATGACATAGTTCTTGTATATACCGAAAATGGCATTGTACTTTATGTTTGCAGCATTTTTTGGTCCAGTCAAAACCTTTTATGATTAAGAAATAATCAGACGTCTTGAAGCTCATCCTGGTCGAGTTGTGACTCAGTTCCAAATTGGAGGTCTGTTAAATAAAACCTATGGAAAAGTAGCTTATGTCCAGAATGCTCATGGATTTTCCAAAACTGGTATCTACCTAATAAACCCCGATGTATTCCCTGACTATATGTTTCAAGCATCTGAAACTACAAATATTGTAGTAGATAGTGTCAAACCTGCTGTCAATGTTCATGATAATAATGAAGAACCTGGACCTTCCTCTTCTACCATAGAAGTCTCTAATATGATGATACCTCAGCTAAACTTGCAAAAAAGTGGCAGTTTACTAGTGGTTACTCTGGCAGATTTAAGTCCAGTTCCAGTGGAACCATTTGTTTCCGGCCAGGGGAAAAGAAAGGCAAGGAAACGTCAAGGCACTTATATTCTTAACTTAACTCCAAATTTAGATTAGGTAAAAGAGAATAGCAAACCGAAACCAGAGATTCATCTTGTGATGTCATTTTGTACACCCTTCCCCTATCTCTGCATTATTTTAACAATATTATATTTTTTGTTTTAAAATGAAAACTGGAATCCAATATTGTTGTTGCATAGAATATCTGTTGTAAATACTATCGTAAATGCTAAAAAAGGCTTAATAAAGAAGAGGAGCAGAAGAAGAAATAATTTACCCTGTATAGTCCAACTTTTCATATTATTCTGTCTTTAGTGAAGTCAATGTCCTTACAAACTTTTTTACTTTTTACCGTTGCTGCCATTGGTCATCGACAGACCTATTTTGTCTTCACACCCCCCATTGTTTGTTACGACAAAGTCAAGGTAGTTGAACTGTACAACACATTTAATGTTCCATTTTTAATCCAAAAATGTATAGTTAATGGTTTGTTTTCGTACATAATAATAATACATTATAGAAGCAACAGTTATTATTGGCTATTGAATTAGTCAATGTAAAACAACGGTTGTTTTATTAGATTTATGATCCTTAAAATAGTAGTAAAATATTTATTAAAAATGAATTTAAAAAGAGCAAAGAAACAAAATTTTCTAACATACAAAGGAATGAATACTCCGAAGGCACAAAAAGACTACGTGAGACTCAGGAATATAGTAAACCAAGAAATAGATAACATCAAAAAAGAACACTGGGAGAAATTTACCAAAGATATGGAATGCGATCTCTATGGATCCCAGAAAAAGGCGTGGAAGATAAGGAGACAAAAAACAACAACAACAAGATGATAAGGAACAATGGACTGAGCATTTCACGAAATTATATGGAGAAGGAGGGAAAGAGAACAGAGAAATAATCATCAGTAACGAAACCCACGATAGAGTACTAATATCAGAAGAAGAACTACAAAAACGAATAAAAAAATTAATAACATAAAAGTACTTGGTCCTGATAAAATGAACAATGAACAGCTAAAATATGGAGGAACATCACTACGCAAATGGCTCCTAAAATTATTCGTCGATATAATAAAATACCGGAGTAGTAGCAGCAAAATGGAAGGAAACCCATTAACCTTCTCTCTATTCATTATTATTCAAAATATATATACATATTCATTTCTATTCAAAAACGGAGTACCTAAGTAGAGCTTTTACACAATAGTACTAATTTTGGTCAGGGTATTTGCCTATTATGAATGTTTCTTGTTTTATATTTTTATTTAGTGTGTTTGTCCATTCTTGAATTGTTAATCTTAAATATCTGTTTGTAGTGTTTAAATTTGCAAAAATTTTATATGTATGTATGAAAAAATGTCACTATTCCTTTGACTTGTCAAAAACAAAACTATCTTTGTATGTTGACTAAATAAATTCTTCTTAATTTTTCCTTTTTTCCTACTTTCCTCTGTTTCATTCGTAGTATTGATCATGCAAATAGTCAGTCAGTAATTAATTTCAATTAACATTTTATATGTAAATTAAAGGTTTTTTTAAATGGTTTTTGTAAGTGGATTTTTGCAAATATTCAAGTATCGCAGGTTGTGTTAACATTTTATGTATTTTAATTTAATTTACCTAATTTTTAGAACTAGATATTCTAGCTGATCTTAAAAATCCACCAAAAAATCAATATTTAGCTCATAATCTATTTTGTCCGTGTATTGCGGGCTTACAATTCAGAAGCAGGAGGAAAGAGTTGACTCGCATCATGGAGGGATGGCAACAAATTGATCGGGAAGTCAGTAACATGCCGGAATTCGATTCGGACGAATTTACTGTGATATTACACAACTATACTAGCAATTATACGTTACCTACCAAGGAAGATGGTTCTGAGGATTATGGGTATCTAGCTCCAGATGTTTTTCATTTTTCTGAAAGGGGACAAGCTAGATGTAAGTAGTGCTTTTTTACTTTTCTAAATTTCTAAAAGAATAAAATCAATTATAATATACATACAGTAGATAAGCGAGGAGTGGCTGGTCATCTATTTAAACAGACAAGAAACTTTCATGAAGCTGATAGAATAGGCACAGTATATTGCTAAAAAATTATAAAGATATTTTTTTAGCGTTAAACTGTGTTGATGATCACAGAAGAATTTAATTATTTTGTAATAGTGTAACATTTGGACAACACCCAACAAATCACGTCTCTCTTGTCGCAGTCTATAGGTGTATAAAAGGCGGATGCTTCAAAATGTTACATTTTAGTCTTAACTATTTCAGGATTGAATATATTCCGCAGATATTAAAAACTTTTTAGACAAAAAAAATATGATTAATAGTCTTATAATTCACAAGGAATCTACGTTCCTGTAGTTGGCTGTATATCATGTATTAAAAAGTCTTATAATGGTATTCAAAGTGATATATTTTTTAATATCCTTAAATTCTGTGGAAGGATAGGACATGGGACAACTGTGTCCCAGAAGTGTTGTCGGGACCAATGTGCCTCATTAGTAATACACGAATAAACTTTAAAGGTAATTTTATTGAAAACAATTAAAAGACTACATGAAAAAAATTAGTAATGATGTGGAAAAATGCCTAATGCCATTACATAGTAGCAAATCACAGGCCATACAAATAGTTTTGGTTCTTGTCTCTTTCCTATTGAGATAAAGTTCATGATACCTCCTTCTGGTAGAAATTTGCTTTGGCAAACGGTTTCCGACATTCAGCATGCTCATTTGATCTTTGAAAATTCCTTCAGAGCGACCACTCAATCCTCTCTTTCGTTTGGCTTTGGATCTGCCATGGAACTCAGGAGACTACTCTTTGCTTTATTTATATCGTAGTATATTATTCACGAGTTACCTATTACTGACATCAACAATTTATAAAAAACTTTCCGCTACCATTTAGCGGATTTTCGGTTAAAGATCCACTCCTCCCATGAACTGATTATACCAGTTTTTAGTTTCTTTCCTGCAAGTCTATAGATGGATTGTAACAGTTAGACATTAGTAATACACTTTCGAAAGTTACAATATTTCGGTCATGTAATGAGACATCCAGAGAGGTATAACCAACTACACCTTATAATACAGCTCATAATACGAACAACATCCTTGCCCCGAAATCTCCGAGAATAATATTAAGAGACCACCGCTAATTTATTTAGAGCCGCCGTAAACAGAGTAATTATTGCCAATATGACCGCCAAAGTTCGATAATCGGACAGGGTACTGAAAGAAGAAGAAGAATACACTTTTTGTATCTTACCTCCTAGTACTCAGTCCCCAGCATTAAAAAATTTTGAAAATCAGACTCACTTATTGACATCTTTTTCACTTAAAATTTTTTCACTTAATAATTTTAGAGATGAGAAAAATATGTTGAAACAGAGGCACACATAAGTAGAACATATTGTACTAGCTGGTTTTTTCACCACACCTTCACCTAAAGTATCAGTAACATCTTCAACCTCTTTGCCAGAGTAAGTGTTGAGGTCATATATGTATCTGTTAAAATAGTCAGACCTTTTCCACATTTTTATTCCTTGTTTTATCGGTTTTCGTAGAATATACTGTATAAGGTCATCAATAGACTGATTGGAATATCATTTAGATTTACGAATAGTATTTATACAAATTATACGAAGAAAAATAAATTTACGTTTATATCATCTTGGCTAAAGATAGTCTGGCAAAATACAGCTTTTGATTATCCCTCAAAACTGTGTGTAAGCTTGGTTGATATATACATTGTTATATATATATATATATAGTATATATATATATATAATATATATATATATATATATATATATATATAATATATATTATTATGATGTGTTGTTGTTGTATGAGCAATGAGTAAATTTGAATGATATATGTAAGTATAGGGTTTTTATCGCGGTTCTCAAAGAATTAGTTTGTAAGTACTTTTTTAAATTATCTTTATTATAAATATTATGAAACAAACCTATCTATCTAATATAAGCAATATCAATTTAAAACAATCTATCTAAAATTTGAAATTCTTACAATTATTAAATTATTAACAAAATTTGGTACCTTCTTTCACTGAACGCCTAAAGTTTTTTCCAAAATTAAAGTTATTATCACCACTCGATATCTTCTTACTAAGCCTTGGTTATCCAACTATGTTAATATGTTCCTTCTTAATTATCTCCACTCACCATATAAATATATATTTAACTCCTTGTAATTTCCATATACTTAATGTACTTTGAAATATACTGGATCTTGTGGTTGTATTATTGAATGCTTATTTCAATAATTAACTTCAAAACTGTCACTATATTACTGTAGTAATAATTAATCTCCAACTGTATTTAACTTAATAATTCATTTAACTTAATCAATGCCTTCTTCTAGCATTGAATAATCTCTTCATAACCTCATAAATAACTGACTTAATAATCCTTAAATTGTTATAACTAACTCCTCAATAATAATCTTGTAACTGATTTAATATCTTCTAACTAACTCACTTAACTCAATTAATAATCTTCTTGTAACTAAATTCTTGAATTATAACTTTACTAACTGATAACTGATAACTGAACTGGTAACTGAACTTAACTGAACTGAACTCATAACTGACTGACTAAACTCTAACTCATAACTGACTCACTAACTCAAACTGACTCTCTCGCCAAAATACATGGCTTTTTATATGTTTTTCATTGTTTCCAGAACATTCCAGCAATAAATCATGTTCGAATCCTTCTATTTGTTCTATATGAACAATCTGGAATGATTTCCTGCCTGTGATGTATTATGTAAATAGTCCCATTGACATTTCTAGAGTTTTCTATCTATACTTTACTTGACTTTAGGCTCTCCAGATCAGAACTACACTATTATATGTAACTTAAACATTTATATTAAATATATTTTTACTATTTTACATCCACAATTATATTCTAAATTAACATTCCAAAAATAAATAACTTTTTGACTTTGACACTACAGTGTATGTTTGGTTGCATAGCACATGGCTGAATTAAACATATTAAATATTAAATAAAATAAAAAAAAAACTTCTTAAACTTAATTCTTATGCTAAATTCTTAAAAATACCCTCATATAATTATTTTTTAATAATATTATCTAATATATAACTTATAAATTATGTCTTCAATTACTATCTAAATAAATCTACTAATCAACACTGTATATCTGGTTGTATATATTTCTAAGTTAATTTATTGTATTTCTGTTTTCATTATAATATATATATATAATATATAATATATATATATATAAATATATATATATATATATATATAATACATTTATGAATTAAATTATGATATATTTAGCTGAAAATACGTTTATTATTACGTTTCAATTTCCACTATGCAAAGAAATCTCGTTATAGGTAGCAAATAAAAACAAAAATGTCACAAAAACAGTATTAGCACTATTTTTTAAATTTGGTTATAAGCAGTAATCAAGATTATCATAAGAAAGATTGTTTCAACTTATTTATTGTGTGACAGTTGTCTTTGGTCTATGACCTCATCCACACTCATCACCTACCAATCCAGTGTGGTAGATCATTGGCAAAATTTCTCGAACGAGTTTTTAAGATAAAGAAATAACATTCTCAGCCCCCAACGATTTTGGTAGTAACTGTGTAAAGGAAAGAACGGAGCGTGGTAAAAATCTCTAGACTGGATCAGGCTCTCAAGGACGATTATTATTGGATTTACTAACATAATAAGATACTAGGACACTTTTATTAATATTTTTGTTGCATATGTTTTAGTTGCAAACGACCTGTGGAATTCCCTTTTGGAACCGTACGGAAAGAAAGTTAACGCTGGAAGAAAAGAATACTCAGTATTTCATTGTCCATCAGATGAACATCCTTATATTTATACGAGAACAAACAGCAAATAAGAATATTTAAAGAACAAAGTGATAATATGTATATAAACTTAATTATTATTAAAAATAATTATTAATTGTGTTTCTTTTTGTACCTCTGGATAAAGCCATGAAGAAAATAAAATTATTTACTGTTTACTACTGTTTATAAGATTAGTAACAATGGTTGAAAGTTAATAATAAAGCTTGGTGGCAGTGTGATTTGTAAATGTTTACTCTGCAGTAAAACTCTGATATTATAATAACAAGTGTTGTTACCTAAGTTCCGTTTAGAGATTACGCTAAGTTTCCGGACCAATAGCTCTCGCTAGGACTTAACGTTACCGTAGAATTGGGTGACTTAAAATTGTTGGGGTGACTTGATACCTTATTCTATTTTAGTTTAGTTTTGAAGTAGATCTTGGGGCCAGGTTCTATTTAGTCTCTTTAGGAATCTCTAAAGGAATCTTTAGTTATAGTGAAGTTTTTGATTACTTATATACAAAGGTGCATCCACTATCGATCTTAGCACTTTAGACCGACATCTTTGGATAATATTTACCAACATTGGCTTTGCACAGCAACCATATGTGCAGTTCGTAATACCAGATAGGTTTAAGTATGTCTTTGTATAGAAGAATTTTGTTTTGAATGTTAAGTTTTGGGTGACGTCCAAGGAGGCAATAGATTTGCCGGAATTTTAAGTCGAGCTGTCTTCTTTTGGTTTGGATATGTTTATTCCAAGTGAGACGTTAGTCACGATGAAAGCCAAAGGTATACAGCGTCTGTTACTGTTGGTATTCTTACATTGTCCATTCTTACAGGTGGGCAGGTGTCATGGATGTCGATAAATATTATTTAAGTTAATTTGTTTTGTGTACCAATCACTGAGTATATCCAGATGGTGTTTCTAGGTCTTTACATTTATAGCTAGTATTGCTACGTCATTAATGTCGCCATTATTAGTAGAAGCAAGACATGACTAATGGAAACGTTCAAGGAAATGTATCCTGAAACGCAAAAAATAGGGCTTAAAATAAACGAAACAAAAACTAAGTATATGACCATCAAAAGGACACCTAAGAATGAAAAAATATAGTAATAGACAAGTATACTATTGAACGTGTAGATGTCTACACATATCTGGGCACAGAAATGAATCATAAGAATTCCGTAATTAGGGAAATTTACAATTTACTAATAGCAAAATTCTATGGTTGTGGAACCTGGGTAATGACGAAAAAAAGAGGAAGCCCAACTCAGAACATTCGAGAGAAAGTATATTGCCCCGGTGCAAGAGGAAGACGGAACATGGAGAAACGACGAGGTTGATGAACTAAATGAAGGGTATAACATTGTAACGTTTGTGAAAAGTCAAACTGTCATGGCTGGGACATGTTCAATGATAAGATAATACGAAAACGGCAAAGAAGATGTTACAGTGAAAGCAGGTAGGAAAGCGGAAAAAAGAAAGGTCCAGGACGAGTTGATTGGATGACGTAGAAGACGACCTGGAAACCATAAATATAAGACAATGGAGGAGAAGGGCCCAAGAGAGATCTGAATGGAAGGACATAGCCAGACAGGCAAAGATCCATCCAGGGTTATAATACCAAAAGAAGAAGAAGAAGAAGATTGCTACGTCCGTCAGCAAAGAAAGCGATTGTAGTATTATTAGTCTCTTGTATATTCACTGTGTAGAGTGAGATGAATTTTACTGAAATAGTTTCTGGATAGTTGTATTTTTACTTTTTAAGCAAATTTCTGTGCCAGACTTTGTCAATGCTTCTGAGATAGCGTTGCAGTATTTCTTTTCTTCAAGATTTTTTAATATTTCATTTATCATTCGATGAAAATGTTGGGTAGTGAAGTAATTTTATTGAAAATTAAACAATTAGAGCATTGAATATTTTTTGTGTGTCCGTTTTAGCTCCATTGCATCTTATCCTGTATATTTATTTCTTTCTGTTGGTGTTTTTGTAACATTATGATTGCCAATCTCCATAGGGAGAGGGCATTCTAATAAAGATTACTAGGTCATCTCGCTGATATTCGTGATGTTAATTTTATGTTATAAAACATAATTTTTAAATAGGTAAAGAAATAATAAATAAGACTTACTCACAATCAATTTAATTTAACTATCAGACGACCGGTTTCGCTTTCTACAATATGCAAAGCATTCTCAGGTCTCGATACAAAGTTAAACAAATGCTGAAATAATAAAAACCATATTAGGGTGTTGTCTATAACGATAAACGGGATACAGCCACGACTGTGGTTATATTTAAATGAGTAAGTTGAATAAAAAGGTATAAAATTTTTTAAAAAGTTAAACAGACAAGGTAAGGCCCACAATTTGTTATAAAATAGTCTCTTCGATTGTAATAAATTAATAAATGAGCAAATAAATAAATAAAATAAACATTACTTACATGCCGGTACTCTATTAATAGATGGATGGTAGAACATGGTTGAAACTACTTTATATTGTTGAATGGAGAACTCAATTCTATCACTGCAGTTGTTTGACAGTAAACGGGAAGTTCTTGAGGAGATAGATTTGATCCAATGAATTAGAGATATGTGTGAGATTGTTTGTTAAATGTAAGTGATGTAATATACTATTGTGTTATTAAAGGCTATTTATACTTAAGTTAAATATAATAAGTATATTAAGTATAAATAGCCTTTAATAACACAATAGTATATTACATCACTTACATTTAACAAACAATCTCACACATATCTCTAATTCATTGGATCAAATCTATCTCCTCAAGAACTTCCCGTTTACTGTCAAACAACTGCAGTGATAGAATTGAGTTCTCCATTCAACAATATAAAGTAGTTTCAACCATGTTCTACCATCCATCTATTAATAGAGTACTGGCATGTAAGTAATGTTTTATTTTATTTATTTATTTGCTCATTTATTAATTTATTACAATAGAAGAGACTATTTTATAACAAATTGTGGGCCCTACCTTGTCTGTTTAACTTTTTAAAAAAATTTTATACCTTTTTATTAACTTACTCATTTAAATAAAACCACAGACATGTAATATTGGCATAATTATTGTAATTTACAACACCTACTTTGTTTATCGTTATTAGACAACACCCTAATATGGGTTTTTTATTATTTCAGCATTTGTTTAACTTTGTATCGAGACCTGAGGATGCTTTGCATATTGTAGAAAGCGAAACCGGTCGTCTGATAGTTAAATTAAATTGATTGTGAGTAAGTCTTATTTATTATTTCTTTACCTATTTGAAATGGACTCACACAAGCAACACATTCATGATTTGCATAATTTTTAAGTTTGCAAGTTTCCTTGCTCCAAAAAGTGTTCGTATTTATATTCCATGTCGTTTTACGAGCGCCAAGCATTAAAAACTGTCAAAAGTTGGCTTTATAAATATAAATTCGAAAAAACGAAAATCTTTTAAAAAATATATGTAAAATAAATCACATTCTTATTTTCGATCAAGAATTTCCGCTTCATTATTTAATAATAATATTCCTTGGGATATAATCTAATATCACCTTCTACTAAAATACTAATTGTTTTGATGATGTTAAATGTTAACGTCCCTCCCATGCACTTGTACATAAATTACTCTTAAACGCAGTAAAAAAATGTGGAGGACAAGGCAATAGCAGTCGTGACCCTGTGGATTCGGATGTAAAAGATGTAAAAGTCATCGATTTACCAACATATCGATTTGGAGATTGTGGTTTGTAGCCTCCTGGGAGCTAATAATGACGAATTTCTAAGAGGTCAAGTTTATTTACTAGTTAATTGAGTGAATATTGGAAAAGTTTGTTTATATAATTACATACCAATGTTTTTCTATTAGTTTGTTTATTTTATTAATAGTATTTTATATAAAAACTGTTTTTACATTTGTTTCCATAAATATCTACAATAATATAGGGAACGACGAAGTAAAATTACTACTTAAAAGGCCAATAATATCAATTATTTAGATTTTATGTTTGTCAACGTAATAATGAGGGTCTAAAGTGTTAACAAAGTAACTAATCAGCACTTTATGTCTTATATTACGATTAAATGTATGTAATTATTTGGAAAACCATGTAATTAGAAGCATAAAACAAATATTTTTTCTAGTCAACCTCGATCGTAAAATGACGAACAAAAGATTTACATTGATGACCTTTAAAAATGATTTTTATTAGAAAAGTATTTTTGAGCAAACTATAAAGAACTTTATATATAAATACATATAATCTAATTTACGTCTACCCGCAGATAAAACAGATAAAACGAGAGTGCATTTCATTTCTACATCCTTCTTCTTCTTTTTCTTCTTCTTCTTCTTCTTATTCTTCATCTTCCCAATCTGTCCCTTTTTCGGGGTCACTGTTCCTTATTCTTTGTCGCCATTCACTTCTGTCCATCGGGTCTTCTTCGCCTAAACCTTTCTCTCTTTAAGTCCTTTTCCACACAGTCCTTTCATCTTCTTGATTTTCCTCTACCCCTCCTCCCATCAACTTTTAACAGCTCTACCCTTCGTCCCACACAGTTTTCATCTCTAAGTCTGACATTGCAATCTTTGTTCTTGAATATTTTTGAGCCTATAGTAACTCTGGTTCTTTCCCTAATTAAGACGTTTTTGATCCTGTCACTTCTAGTCTTATTTAACATCAATCGTAACAGTTTCATTTCAGCTACTTTCATCTCCTTTCCTGAATCTTTTTATGAACCACACTTCACTACCGTACACCAACGCACGGCACTCTTGTATATATTTTCATTCAGCCCTTCCCCAATTCTTCGATCACAAAGTACCTGGCCCATTCGCTTCCAGGTAAACCAACCAACATGTATTGTGTGGGCAATTTCTTGATCTAGTGTTCCAGTTTCCGTTGTGTAAGAGCCAAGATATTTAAATTCTCCTACTCGTCCTAGTTTTTTCTTCAAGCACTTCTGTCCCCAACCATTTCTCTTAATCCCAACCATATACACCAAGGACCTGCTAACGTTAAGTCCTCCCTCTTTAATAGCCGTTCTCCAACACACTTTTCCGCCATTTCTTTGCTTTCCTCTACTAACACCATAAGATAAGCAA